GGAAGAGAAATTGTTTATTTTGAAGGAAATAAGTCATCCTTGTAGTCAGTTCAGGTCATACACACCCCAGGCAGCTTTGGATAATCATGGTCTTAAGATAAATGCATGTAGCTTAGAGACACACATCTCAGTACTCATGAGATACAAATGTACATTAGTGCATTATGACATTGAGACACTAACTTTTAGTTATGTAATCTGGCAGTCTGATAGAAAGAAGTTGAGCCTAATGCCTAGATGAAAGACTAGCTGATGCAACTGGGGCATTGCTGAATTTTTTTTTTGTTTTGTTTTGCTTCGGTGTCACATGGTTTCATCGTGTCATGGGAAGAGAAATGGTTTATTTTGAAGGAAATAAGTCATCCTTGTAGTCAAGACAGGTCAAACAGATCGGGAGAGAAAGGCCAAACAAACCCCCAGGCACTTCGGTTAGTCTTGCTCTCCAGATAAATGTACATAGCTTATGAGATCAGCTACTCTGTATCTATTAGCATTCTGAATCCACTTCTTCATGTAACATATACTGGGCTTAAGATAAGAACCCAATAGCCTGTACATCATTTATCACCAGCAGCTGGGCTAGTTGTGAAAGTTTGTCACGTACCACTGCAATCAGGAAATGTTGAATACAACGTACTTCTGTTAGTAGTTCAAGGTAGCAGAGAGTTATGCATAACTAGTCTAGCAAATTATGTGCTGTAACTGTTTTTCTGTTAATTTTTTTTTGTCTTGTTTTATCTTATTATATGTACCTACAAGATTTAGTCACATTCTGGTATTTTCAATACATGCAGTCAGAACAGTCTTGATTTATGATAATTGAGTTTTGTAGGAGGGAGTATTATATTACCAAAAATAATAACATATTGGGTTGTTTCTCATTTGTCAGGTGCTGCGAGCATCAAAAACAGGTACAATAGCTCCAAGTGTGCCATCATCTTAGTAATTCTTTTTGTCATTATACATTGTACACCAGCTGTTAGGAGAAAGGGAGAAATGCCAGAAGTAAAGACTCCTTTCTTTTGGCAACAAGTTGTACTTGAAGCTATAAATTCCAACGCCTGCTTTGCAATTTTCATGGTCACAAATGGCGTTTAAATGACAAAGAGGAAACCCCAATATGCATGTTTTGCCACCCAGATGAAATTATTTCCAGAACCAAAGGGCTACACTGTAACTCATCCATGGTGTTTTTCCTCCCTGCAATTTTTCATGGGCAGACCATGTCATCATATACTTTTATAGATACATGTATAAATGTATGAAATAATATTTTTATCAGGACGTGAGGATTGCTATATGTTATTTCTAAACAAGTCAGAATCAAAGGCTAGAAGATATTACATGTACTTAACTTGTTATCATTCCAAACTATCAGAATTGTAGTCATCATTGTCTGATAATCATGTTCTTCTACACTAGGACTCCTGAAGTGAAATTGATGGTGACAAGCCTAAGAGTTGACAGATAGATTTGTGTAAATTGTGGTCAACATGGTACGTTTTGCTTTTAAACAAGACACACAGATTGTCAGTTATGATGACTAAGTGAGTCCTGATATATTACTATCCTCCTATAGCTAGTCCTAGCTCTCCCTGTAGCTGTGCAATAGCTCAATTAGGTAGAGTGCTCACTTAATGCCATGTACCAAAGACTTAAAAAATGGTACATACTGCTTTCTCTGCTTAGCACTCAGCATCTATGAGAAAGAGTATGGGAAGGTCAAACACACAACACTACCAGTGGGCTAGCTCCTTGCTGTAGTGCTTGCACAACTGTGTGGCCCAAGGGCTACAGAAATGGAGATGAGCACCACCCCTATGCTCCGCATGAAGTGAAAAGGGACCTTCTTCTTCTTCCTCTCCTTGTATTAAATCATACAGCAAAATGAACAACATATTTCTACTGATGGCTAATATACTGCATCATATGTTTTCTAATGTGGGGGGGACAGTAGCAGCTAAATTTGCTGCCTAGTTCTCCGCTGTGTATTGCTGTTGCAACGTGAATAAAAGCCAAAGTACAGATGGCTTAATCTAGGATGAAGAATTGTCAGACTGAGTGTTACTATGAAGGTTAGACATCTAGGTAGAATGTTACATAAATGCAACATAAATCAAGCAACTGGGTAAAATCTCTGAGGAGTCAAACATTTCAGATAGCATCCACTACCTTTCATCAGTGACTTTCATTCTCAGTCACTTATAAAACGTTTGACACCTCAGGGATTGAGAATTTAATATTCAGCTGCTTGATTTATTTTGCATTATGTAATTATCTATGTCATCAGGAAGACTAACATTCATCAAGTCTTGGATAACATAACATGATAAATGAACATTCTAGCAAAGAATTGCAATGGAAATGGCTGCTGTTATGTTACTATTGCTCATTCACCAGTGGCAAGATGTAGTGGACACTGTAGAACAAGGGGCACTCAGAACCTACCAGAAAACGTAGCAAAACTATGAACAAACATGAACTTAAGTTGTTAAGTTCAAGTTTTGCTCCAACACAAGCTGGAGAGTCAGCGAGTGGATCACACATCTGACATCTGTTGGAACAAAGCTTAAACTTTACTATGGATTCTACCAACACACTGAACTTTTATGAACTCTCATGACATCAACTTTTGATTGACGCAACACCACAGAACTCTGCCCTTTGAAGTGTGAATCTTCGCACCACAGGAAGACACAATGTTTTATGACAGCACTTCTTGGAACCATAAAACCTTGGAGTGACATATGGCAGTAATGGTCTGAGGATCTACCACCTGGTAGTGGCAGGCTTTGGGTTAAGCCCACCCTGTGGTACTCTACGGCTGTTTCTACAGCATATTCACACCTCTTCTGTCCTCTTGCTAAGGCCTAGGGAATAAAACGTTGTGTTTGTGGTTTCCTGGCCAACCCTAACAAAAATCCACCAACCACAGCATTTTTTTCAGGTTGGCAACTGGCATTAAGCCATGACATTGTCTATTGGTCATCTGCACTTTAAGCCCTCTAAAACATATTTAATATACTGTACTTCACACATTTTTAGGAGCAAATTATTTTTGGGTAAATCTGGTGAAATATCATTCCCTTCCTCACATTTATTTTACTAGTAAAAGGTTTGAGAACCATGGAAAATATTGGACAAAACGAGCATTTCACGCAGGACCTTCTGGCGAGTAGTATACTCTCTACATACTCCTTAGGCCATATTTCTTTATCTGAAGTAACACCTTTAATACCATTTCCACTACTGCACGGTCAAGATTTCACTTCTCTAAAGTGTAAAAGTCAACCTTTTTCAAATCAAATGTTCCCTGAAAAAATACAGGGATTTTCCCCAGCTACGCAAGATGAGCAACACTGGAATACAAGATGGCACAGGGATTACCTTAGACTCAGGAAGAAATACTCGAGTGCCTGTTGGGGAAAAACCTGGGCTTACTCTGACTTCTTGAGAGGATTTAAACATACTCATGGCAGACTAAGGTAGTAAAACGTAAAGGTCTCATGGCCTTTTGTGGCTATACTTGCAGTGGGTTGTTAATCTGCAGTGTCTGTACACCTAGGGCATAGTTTTTGGAAGGTGCCGTGGGTAAAATTGGGGCTGTGCAGTATTTCTGATGTCTACCTGCACCTACATTGTATGTGCAGGTATGTAGCCAAAAGAAGTATGTCAAGCCCTGATATAATATGATTCATCCAGGGACTTAATACTAGATTCTAAAGCACAGAATAATTACATTTTACCCCTAGAAAGAAGTTTCATAACCAATACATTTAATAATATGTGGCTTCTTTAAATATATGTGACCTGTCTTTGTGATAATTACTTTGTGAGTTATTGGAGGATCACATCTCTACTGTAGCTTAACATGTTGAATGATCCTGTACTTAACTCACAGGTCTTAGGGGATTTGTACATTAAGCCTGCAGAGATGAAACTGCCATTTGTTTTATTTACCAACATGTACAGCATCTATTATCATGTGTTAGAGCTGGCTGGGGACAAGCATTCTAGACAGCGTCTGTCTTTCTGGCATTTGACCAAATTTTGCTACTAATGACAATTTTACCAATCCATCATCTTTGATGATTGGCATATTAAGATATTGAAATAATTGGCTTATTATGAAATGAATAGTTATGTCATTAAACTAAGCTTAGTATACCAGCAAAATTTGAACCTCAAAATGCAGGAAATAGCATTTTGGAGGGTTGAGATTTCACAATTTGACAAGGGAGCATGTCCCTGGAACCTCCTTGGATTGCCATGCAATGCCTTACACAGTGCTCGACATGATATTATGTCAAACAAAATTGAAATGACGGAAAAATAGGTATGCAACTACTGTGAAGGAACATGACATTGTATTCTTAGGCATGACATGAAACATGCAGAAACAAGGGAAAAGAAACACAGATTCGTAAAACATGCAAGGTCTTTAGACAAAATTTATTAGGATGCAAAAACAAAAGCTTCAGGCATTCAGGTTATCTTCAAATACAAGATAATTTCACATGTAAATCTATCTACATTATACAATGTACTTCATCTGCCTAATATCCTCTTCTTTACATATAGAGTCAATGTATTACATTAGAGAAGGCAAACCAAAAGACTTGGTTGTAGGAAATTTTCATGGGGCATCCATGTGTCAGGAAGACACAACTGCCACAACCTTTTTTATAGATAAACTTGAAGCAAATGTCAAGTACAAGTTACATATCACTGAGTAAAGGGACTCTTTATACACAACCAAGTCTTTTATTCAGCCGACATTTTGGTGACTGTCTGCCACCTTCCTCAGGGCAATTCTGTCTGGTTCACATTGCACAGCACAGGTGTCGCTGCTGTAGATGCATTCATCTGAAACGTACAATATCTATGTAGATATGTAAATATTGTACAAATGTACATTTGGGAATGCATCTATAGCAGCGACACCTGTGCTGCAGTGCAATGTGAACCAGTCATGAGGAAGGTGACAGACGGTCACCAAAATGTCGGCTGAATAAAAGACTTGGTTGTCTCTTTACTCATGTGTCTTACCAACCTGATGAAAGTATTCACAGAAGTTACTTATCAGTAACATGATAAATGAAAAAGTGCATTCTGACTACTACCTCTGAAGTAGTCAGAAGTTAATATTGCACTCCAACATCTCATTTACAATATAGTCTTTGATTTTAGATGCTTTACAAAAAGGTAGTTTAAATCATTGGCATGTAGACTGAAGATTGTAGTTATTATGACACTGTCAGACCCTAAGTACCTTCTGTCTGTCATTATAGTTTTCACACGTACATCCACTCTCATGACAAACTTTCTATAAAACTTTGCACATAGAAGGACAACCACTCTCTTTCCAAAGTTCTGGCAGGAGCAGAGTTTAGAAATGGAAGCTTCCACTTCCGCAATTTTTCAAGCAGATCTTTTAGATTCTGTGAAGTTCCAAAGCAGCATTCCCAATTTTTCGTCAGTCACTGAAGTGGACGCTACTTGAAACATCTGACAGTTTTTAAAATCTATCAAGTTGTTTGATGAGTAACTGTTTTCTTGTGTATCTCATTACCTGGATGTCTAAGCAAATAATTTCCTTCTCTAAGTAAAGAGTTGGTCCTAAAAATGTGAGCTCTCTGCTCCTTTTTGAACTTCTCAAGAGTAAAAGTTTGACAACACTTAAGAGAGAAAGAGACATCAATACTTGCTCCCTTCCCGAGGACCAGGTGCTGACTTTGCGGGAGGAGGGCTGCCGGCAGACTCTGGGGTCTGTGTCTGGAGCCACTCCATCTTCTGCCTGTGTGCGACCACCGCGTCCTGGACACGAGCGTCGATCAGGTCTTCACCGAGAACACCGTCTTCAGAGGCATAGGCTGTGGCCTGGGGGGGACGGATAGGGTAACCATATAATTCATGAAGATTTGCCACATTTGTGGAAAGATTGATATAACAGGTGACTATCACCTCTTCAAAGATGTTAAACTTCAGACCAAACTGTAAGGTTTGAACCCCTCACACCAGGAAGGATCCCTGTGTGGTGGTATCTTTAACATGCTCGAGGTGTGTCTCCTTAAATAAGGGACTTCCATGTCCTTTCCAAGAAGATGTCTCCAACTGAAACTAGGTACACATTTTCACAGAGTCAAGTGAGGAAATAGGTGTTAAGTGTCTTTCCAAAGAACACAACAATGGACTGCAAGGGATTTGAACCCAGAACCTTCAAAAACCACTAGTTCAAGTAACTTACCTGCCAGGCCACCCCCAGTTTGGCGATCTCCCTGCCAGACAATCCCTCCACAGTTCTGGCGATCTCCGAACACTTGGCACCGTAGTCAAAGTCTGCCACCTTTATTCTCCTACATAACACAACAGCAGAATGGTAACATGTACTAACATATTTCTGCCCAGTTGCATATATAAATTTGTATCTTCTATCCTGAAAAATGAGACTAAGAAGATAACTGTGCATACTTGTGGGACATAACTACATGTACACTGTTTTTCAAAGCAGTTTTCAAAAATGTTAAGAGGTAATATGAACTTTTTACTATCTTTTGACTCATGCAACAACATTTGAAAAAAACATGCAACAAATCTGGAAACTGAGATATGAAATTATTGTGGCCTAAAATAAGAGTGACCCTTACCTCCCCCTGCCCTCAGCAGCGGGCTGCAGGACGTACTTGTCGAAGTACAGCCTGACCAGCCGTTCCCGCTCCTCCAGACCAGGCAGGTCAAACAGAACTATCTCATCCAGACGGTCGTTAATCGCCCAGTCCAGCTGCTCAGGCTGGTTACTGGCCAGGACCAACATGAACCTGGGAAACAGAGCAAAAAATAATCTTCCACTGGTCACAACAAGAGGGACAACTGCATTGTACTGAGGACTAGGTGGATTACTAGACAGTTTATTTCATTTATAAATACATCTACTTACAACACAAGAATTGGGCAGACACACACGATTTGTTGGTATGAAAGCTGTTCTTCCACTAGGTTTGTGACAAGTGCAATTTGTACTGTGGACCAGGCATCCTGGCGCGGCGGGCAGTGTCATTATCTTATCTACAATCATGTTCTTGTGCCATATTAAGAATCAGCCGCTGAAGAAACCATATCAGACTTACTTTCTCGACTGTTCGCCGGTTCGGTACAGGAATGCATTAAGTGTGCTACGGAGATCTTCACTGATCTTCTCCTGTGGATAGAGAAGGAAAAATACAGCACATGTTACCAAAGGGAGACTTACTATGAGCTACCTACCTACTATGAGCTATAAACATTTATCTTAAAGCTTCATCAAGTATTGCCTGTATTTCAGCTTCTGTGTGTGTTACGCCAAAGGGCGGTTATACCAGCTATACAGATACAGATACAAATTCTTCAATACTGGTAAGCTTACTGGTATATTACACATCGTCAAGTTATTTCGCTGTTACCGGTAATGCAGTTACATAACTGTACTTTTCATGTTCTATCTGATATGACAACTTTTGTACAAAGAATGTACATGTAGTTTGATACATGTATCTGTACGCCAAAGGGCGGTTATACCAGCTATACAGATACAGATACAGATACAAATTCTTCAATACTGGTAAGCTTACTGGTATATTACGCATCCACAATTTATTTCACTGTTACTGGTAATGCAGTTACATAACTGTACTTTTCATGTTCTGTCTGATATGACAACTTTTGTACAAAGAATGTACATGTAGTTTGATACATGTATATGTTTTGTTGTTGTTGTTGTTGTACTTACTGTGGCCCTTTTCCTGAGGAATGCATCAGACTCGTCCACAAACAGCAGTAGCCTGTGCAGGAATCAATGTGGGATTACATACTTTACACTTAGTCTACTGAATGGTACATGTAAACACCTACAACGATCCATGTAGGCTGAGTTGACATTTGTATCTTGAGATTGAAACCCACTTGAACATGACTGTCAATGGAAATGTGACCATCAACATCCACATGTATACATAGTCATAATGCAGTTTTGTGACAGGTAGAAAATATGACAGTATGTCATATGCAACTCTGCATCAGATACATTTTGTATCACTATTCAAGTCTCAAAAATGACACTGAAGTTGGCAACCATACTGCACATGTAGATCTAGAGTTATGGTGCCATTTTTCATGGTTTACTGGTGAAATAATATAACATATGTTAACTGTGTTTCACAAAAAAAAGAGATGTTTTCATGTTAATTTTTTTCCCATACAGATGACTTACCCCCTTCTGCTGGTGCCTGCCCAGTCGAACACTTTGTGCATGGCTGTCACCCCCTCCCGACCCATCGGAGCTACGTCCCCTCCTGTCATAATGGCATAGTCCATCCCAGAATGCAACGCTAAGCTCTGAAACATAAAAGTACATTTTTGTGTTCAGGCGCAGAATACAGTTACATTGTTTCACATTTATAGTGAGATAAGATAACATTAAATGTAAAAGTTGGCTTGTTGTTAGCGACAAACCTTCTTCGTGCACAAAATCTTGATATTTTGTTGGAATAAAGCTATTCATTGATGAGTTAGATAGCTTACAAAACGTAAGAAGTATACAATACAAATGCATTCACAATTTTTTTATGTACATGACATAAATGTACTATCCATGTGCATTATCATAAATCTAAAATGCAAAACTGTTAACTTTTAATTCTACCATTCTTTAAATGCCTATTCCAGTTCTGCCTCACCTTTGCGAACATGGTCTTGCCTGTACCAGGGGGTCCGTGGAACAGGATGTTTCTGTACACACCGCGGTTTGCCTTCGTGTTTCTGGTTGCTATGGCGATATCTCGGACACGAGATTCCAAGGACGGCTGCAGAGTTGAGAAAAAAGTCATTATTTTACTTCTTCAGTATTTGTATTAGTTGTGGAATGACATTTTGTTTGTTTCTTTGTTTTGCATAACCAGTAGATTGCATTTAAGCATAACACACCAGGTTTGAACAGTAAGTACAAGCTGTGTAAGACAAGACTGTAACTGGTGTAAGGTCTGATCCACTCACATTGGGAGGGACCCCTTCTCTTTTTGATAAGTGTTATGGGATCTCTAACATGCTTGAAGTTTCATACTTCCTTTGCCCCTAAGAATTTCAGCTGACATATTTTTTGCTAAACTTTTCAATGTCAAAGAACAAAAAAAACTTACATTGAAGACAATTCCCTCCAGTGCATCCTCTGGTTTGGTCATCAATCTTTTAACTGTCTGAAAATTGGGAACAACATCATTACACTGATGTCACCGCTGGGAGCAGAAGTTAAAACTACCTTTTATACATTTTTCAAGGAAGCTTGTTCTATAGTGATGTAGCTCTAGGAAAGAGGAATTCAGCATAACTTCCTCTTGAGAGATAGTCATCATCTTCCTAACTTTACTTCTGGTGACTTGTCTCACCGTGATTGGATGTCTGAGTCCCTCGAAGACACTTATTCTGGAGGTCTCCCTGACGAGTGCAGGTTTCCCTAGTCTGGCCTCGATGTACCGCGCTGCTACCCCGGTCGCACCTCGGGCTGAATATACACCTACTGCTAGTAATGTCAGACCTGCAACCTACAGAACAATGAAATAACACACAGCTGTAAATTTTACAATAAAAAACATTGGATTGTTTCTAAAATTTAATATAATGTTATTAATATTTTTAAATTACTTATTTGAAGGTTGTAGCACTTGGGGTTTTAATAAAGATACAAAATATTCCAGACAAAGAAATTGTGTTACATCTAGAACATTTTTATGTGTCTTGTATGTGACTTCTCCATGTAAATATGTCATGTACCTGACTCAGTAAAAATAATCTTTTAAACATAATGCAGAATTATGACAAATGATTAAAATGTACTGTGGTGGAAAAATTGGAGGCACTTTACGAGAAGGAAGAAAGAAAGTGGTACAACTCACTGTGGCTGAAACTTTGTCCCAATCGGCGATAAAAGCCTTGAAGCCATCCCCCAATACTGCACCTGCAGTTCTGGAGCAATGCACAAGAGGGCATTATTACTGTGGCCTGTTACCAGTCAAAATGTATGGGGAGAGACACACTGTACACACGTTTAAGAACCCACTTGACTACGCCTTTTGAAAAAAGAGTAGGGACATGCTCCTGGTCCAAATACTACTATTTTGGAGATGGTGATACAGTACAGATCACACAGATGGAGGCCTGTCGAAGCCCCGTCTTGTCTTAGCCATTGAAAGGGTCTGTGCCCTTCACGGAGTGGTATAACCCTACTAGTATGATGTGTTGTTTTCACTACAACTTACTTGATGCCCTCCATGACTGTAGTTCTGTGTTCGGAGGCCTTTAGTCTGATCTGCTCCAGGTTCAGGTCCTGGTTCTCGCGGTCTGCTTTCGCCTTCGCTGTCGTCTCTGCTTCGATTTTCTTCATGTCGTTTTGCAGACGGAGCTGGGCTTCGTATTCCATCGTAGCTGAAGAAAATGATCACAATAAAGCTTAGGACATACCAAATCCACATCGCATTCTTGAGGCAATTTCCATGTACAGTTTTATTCTAATAGTAGTACACTTATGTAACTTATTGTAAGGCCAAAAATGGTGGCTTTATGAAAGACATTCACACAACACTGATTGTGTTAGACTTAAAAATAGTCTTATCTCTAAATCTTCAAAAAATCAAAATTTGACAAACTTTATTTCACGCCAATCTTTCAGTTCACTCTTTCACCAGGTTTTGGGTATCCAAAGGAGGTCAATATGGTTCATGTGGTCTAGTAGATTTATTCAATCTCAAGGATCACAAATCTGGTAAGACATTGGTACATGAGTGTAGAAAGCTTGTAAAGCCATTGTTCACATGCTTTCTACACTCATGCACCAATGTGTTACCAGACCTTATGATTTGATGAATCTTCACAAGACCACATGAATCTCATTGACAGCCATTGTGAGTACCTTTCCTCATGGCCTCCTGTTTCTTGACAGACTCCTCCTGTCTGGCCAGCTGTTCTTCCTGCATCCTCTTCTGCTGAATCAGCTGATCATCGTAGCGCCGACGGGCCAGCTGGTCCTGGTACTGTGCTCGCTGTGGGGGAGGATACAACAACTACAATTACTACAATTTTATTAGAGGTTTGGGTACACTTTGTGAAGTTTTGTCTACAAAGGGACCAAATGCTGGTAGTGGTAAGTGTAAAAGATGTTTTTCTTCCCAAGTATCTCTTCACTAGCTTGGGTACCATCCTGCAGTTAGCTTACGTCCACTCCCACATGTACAGTCGCTCCCACCAACCAGTCTGGGACCAGTGCTACACGGGCCGTCGGAGATTCCAATACTAGTATTCGTCCAGATTTTGTGCAAGCTCGCTGATTGGCTCTCTGTCTGTATTCCCCTTGTGGGAATGATTATGGAAGCGGACGTAAACTAACCAGGATGGTACCTAGGCTAGTCTCTCTTCACCTTTAGTCATCCTCAATTGAGGTAAAGCAGGATGCTTTTTTTGAGTCGCCACTAGTGCAATGCAGCTTTGCTAAGGCTCACGTTTATAGTCAATCATACAGATTCAGCCCTTTCCTAATAGCATTTTATAAAGAAAAGAGACATTCAAATATTGAAGTCAGTTTCAGTAAACATTAGCACAATCCCATCTCTGCAGTTATACCCAATACTCTGGTCGTGTGAAAGAAGCTCCTTGAGAAGCTGAGGATGTTCCTTACCTCCTGATGTTGTTTAGTCTCGGCTGCCATAGTTTTCCTCCTCTCCTCCCCCTCCACCTGTTTCCCCTGGATCCTGGCCTGCTCCACAGCTGCCTCATATTGCTACATGAACAGACATGGATCATGTTACAGTTAATGGCATAGACCTATTTCTTACATAAGGTTTTATAGATCTGATGTATTACATGCACACTAAAGACCTTAGCAGGTTAGACAGTTGAAGAACATGCTGGTTCCACTAAACTGTGAATTGAAAGACCTTCCGTTTGCCTTGAAACATGACTGTATCGGTTTCTGTATAGCCAGAATAAGTGTCCTTCAGTGTAAAACACCAGCTTGGTCAGACTGGCCATACAATACAAGATCAATGTAAAACCTACAATCTATGTATTGTTCATGTAATGAATAAAAGAGTGAAGACTATAACATACTTTAATTTCCTTCTGCTGCTCCAACTGTTTTGTCTCTTCCTGCATGCGAGCCAGCTGAAGAGCCTCTTTAGCATTGACTGGAGGAGGGGGGAGCAAAGGACAACAGTCAATCAGGGAAGCCTTCAATAATCTCCAAGCAGATTCGGTGGGGCAGGGGGACTTTATATTTGGCCAGTCCTGTATCCATTGGCCG